CAGCCAGTGAGCGGGAACCGGTCTGTATGTGGGATCCGAAACCTCGGGTGGGAGCGCCGCCACGCTTCCCAAGCAGCGTACTTATCCAGTGCGCCACCGGGCCAGCCCTAGTTTTCATAATTTTAAACCATCTCTTTAGGTTTATGAGTTGACAGTATAGACACAGATTTCTGTGTCCTCAGTGGGGGCCCGTGCTCAGCTCAGTGCCCAGCATGTGTTAATAACTCCGTTTTTGTTCATTTGTGGAATGATTGCGCCACGTTCGGCCTAGCATACACAGCATTCCATTCCTGCTGTCCTGTACTCTTTCTGTCTTACATTTGTGGCACGAATTTGTACTCTTGAAAAATTATTTTTCCCTCTGAGCACTGGCAATGTAAAAGGATCCTCCTCTTCCTTTCCTTCTTTCTAGAAGCGAGTGTTCATTCGGGGCATGCTGCCTGAATTTTGCTTTCTTCATTCAACCATGTATCATGGGCACCCCCCCTCCACCCCTGCACCCCATGGCCTCTGGGAATCATTATTCTATTCTTACTTCTATAAGAACCACTCTGGTCCAGTGAGTTTTATTATCCCTCCTTATCTTTGTAGAAATCTGTTATTGTTCTCCTAGTTTTCATAATTTTAAACCATCTCTTTAGGTTTATGAGTTGACAGTATAGACACAGATTTCTGTGTCCTCAGTGGGGGCCCGTGCTCAGCTCAGTGCCCAGCATGTGTTAATAACTCCGTTTTTGTTCATTTGTGGAATGATTGCGCCACGTTCGGCCTAGCATACACAGCATTCCATTCCTGCTGTCCTGTACTCTTTCTGTCTTACATTTGTGGCACGATGTGTGTTAATAACTCCGTTTTTGTTCATTTGTGGAATGATTGCGCCACGTTCGGCCCAGCATACACAGCATTCCATTCCTGCTGTCCTGTACTCTTTCTGTCTTACATTTGTGGCACGAATTTGTACTCTTGAAAAATTATTTTTCCCTCTGAGCACTGGCAATGTAAAAGGATCCTCCTCTTCCTTTCCTTCTTTCTAGAAGCGAGTGTTCATTCGGGGCATGCTGCCTGAATTTTGCTTTCTTCATTCAACCATGTATCATGGGCACCCCCCCTCCACCCCTGCACCCCATGGCCTCTGGGAATCATTATTCTATTCTTACTTCTATAAGAACCACTCTTTTTTTTTTTTAGATTCCACATATTTTTTGATATTTAAAAAATTTTAATAAAACACTGAAAACGAAAGAAATGCTAAGTAAGAACAAATTGAATAACACTGTATGGGAATGAGGAGGCTAATTTTATCCTATATAACCCTGAGCTATTGTAGATTTCTAAGTACAGTCTTAACATAAATAAGACTTCAGAGTACAGAATAATATTATTAATCCTGAAAATTAGCATGTGAATCTTATACTTACAGAAAAGTTGCAAAAACTGGGGAATGCTGGCTGAGGGGCTGTCTGTTCACTGTGGGCTGGAGAGGCAGTGGCCTCTCGGGGGCTCTACTCAGGCAGTGCAGAGGTGCAGGGGCCAGGGAGGGATGCCAGGCCTGTAAAGGTGACAGTGAGCGTGGGTCACTTCTGCCTGTGTTCATTGACCAAGGCAGGCACGTGGCAGAGCCCAAAGTCAAGAGATGGAGAAAGACACTTTGGTGGCCTCTAGTGAGAGGAACTGAGAAGTCACTTTGGCATAAATAGGGCATGGATGGATGGAGAAGCGAAGAATTGGTGCTGGTAATTGAATCTGCCCAAGGCCCCTGTTGGGTTCTCTTGCTGTGTACCTTGGAGGGTTTCAGCTTCTTCCAACCTGAAACTTTCTTCAGACTTGTCCCTTCAATCTTTTCCCACTGAGCTTTACTTTTACACAGTCCATGGAGTTCCATCCAACACAAATGTCCTATTAACCTGAAACTGCAGATATAATGTTTGACTTTCCATTGCTTTTAAAATTTATTTATTACTTCCTCTCACCTGAGA